AAAATATTTTTTCTATTTGTGCTATTTCTCTTATTCTCATAGCAGTATGAGGACTGGGAAATCCCTTGCACTGGGGATTAGCACCTTGCTATGGTCTCATTTTCTGTCTTTCCTGTGGCAGGATACATGGGCATACAAGTTCTGTCCCTCCCTGTCAAATGTCCATGCAGCATCACTGCAGATCACTGCAGTGACCATATTTCCAGGTGTATTTGGGTACATTTCAAAAACAGATGAATCATATTTCATGTACCCAACCCAAAAAACACTTTGGGAACTTTGGGAGTGCCCTAGTTCCAATCAGGACCAGGTTCATTTTTTGCAATTGCCAGGAGGGGTGTGGCCAGGACCCTAAAGTTACTTGATACCACCTCATGCCGTTGCCAGTGGCAGGAGAAAGGGACTCTCTCTTCCAAGGAGAAGGGGCTCCTTTCAATCGAGTTAAAGTGGTGGACAGAACAGTCAGGTATTGTTTATTGTCAGGAGCTTTTCACATAAATCACTTCTCTGTCTTATACCTTTCATTATTAATATTGTTGCTGTTATCGTTTGTCTTCTTATCTCATTGCTGTTTCCAGTAAATTGTTCTTATCTTAACCCATGATCTTTTGATAACATCTGACACTGCTCAGCTTCAACCATTTCTACTCCTCTGCAACAGTTTCAGGACCTGTTAGATGTGAAGGTAAGCCAGGAGACAAGGAGAGACACTCATTCCCTTGGCTAGCCACATGCCTTACACCAGCGCATCACCCCCAAGCAACGGCAGCCTGGACACAGCACCTGGGCAGCTGCACTACACAAGCATCCCCTCAACATGGGAAAGACCTTGCTTGGGACCACACCACCCTCAGATGGGGGCTGCAAAGTTTATCCTTGCCCTAATCCCCAACCAAACAACCTTACACAAGAGACAGGAGCAATGACTAGAGAACCTGCCCAACAGGAACCTGCCAGAAAGGAGCAGGAACTGGGATATTTCTGAAAGGAAAGAGTGACAGATGGGGAGGAAGGGAGTTCTCCCACCAAGGAAAATTACCTCCAACATGAGTAAAGGCTTGGGTAGAGTACAGAGTACACAAACATACCAAGAGGGAGAATAAGATGCCTTAGGGAAAAGGTCAATAATTTGATGTAAAAATGCCAATGTGTAAGGATGGACTGGAAGCTGATGAGCAATAGGCTGTGAAAAGTGACATCTTGTTGTACATAGGAGAAGTAATACAGTGATGCTGAGTGGGTAGACCTAGGCTGTGGCCTACTGGGATGTGCAATACAAGGAGTTATTTTGGGACTAGAAAGAGGTAGAAGTGTGTGTTGGTGTAGAGAAGAGTACACAGTGAAGCATGGAGATGTCCCAGTATCTAAACTGTGACAGCACTGTGCAGCAGCAGAGAAGTGAGAACTATATTAGGGAATGCACTGGCCAGTAGTGGAGCCAGGCAACAAAGGCACAAAGGATATTTGCAAGACCGGGGTTGTAAAAGCTGACAAGTCCTTCTGCAACCACTCCATCCTATGAAAAGGGATGCTGTGATATGCCCTTAATCAGAACAGAGTGGCATCACCTCCCCAATATCCCTGTATCCCACAGCCACATGACAGTAGTTTCCAAAAAAACTACTAGAGGGAGGAAGTGTCCCTAATCCCAGTGCTGTCAAAATTTCTTCTACCTCTTCTAGTTTCTAAGCACAAAGATTTTGTGCTTTTAAGGTTCACCCACTCTGAAAGTCTTATTTTCCAGAGCTCCTCATCAGTCCTTCTTCCTAAATGCATGGTGTCCACATCCTACCAGAAGTTGCCTGACTCTGCTCTGCATGCGCTTGGTTGAGTTAGAGCACTTAGCTGAACCAGCTGTCCGTCCCTCTGTCATTAATAGTTCTGCAGAGAAAGGACATATTCAACTTGCTTTCATTTTCCACGCTTGACACCTTTTTACTTTCAGAATCTTGTTCAAGCAAGGAAGATAAAAATAGAGGTAGGAGAGACTCTTTCATTCATATCTTAACACCCATTCTTATCAACACAGCTTTTCCCAACTGCTCCAAGAAATTCACCCCGAACAAGCCCAACCTGCACTATCTCCACTGTCTCCCCAAAAGATTCTTGCTCTGTGATCTCACTGGTGACTGTTTCCAGGAGTTATTGTAAAAATTTCTCTGCACAGCCTCTCCCACTGCTACCACCCTGTGAATCCCACTCCACCTACCTCAACTTCTTGCACATTAACACTCCAGGGAATTATCACCTCCCACCATCACTCATCCAAACCACTGTGGCTGAGATTAAAAAGCCAGCGTTTGCTCACTGATTATTTTTATCCCAGTGATCCCTGATAGGTACACTGGCCCTGGACATAAAATAGGTTGGACAGGACAACCCAATAGTCAGCATATATGATGCTTCTGCTTCTGTGTCAAATCAACACATGCCATTCACCTTTACATCAGAGCAGCTCCCAGTCCCCAGCCACAACGCTGGCCTAAAATGGGAGACCTCCCATCATCAGGGTAACAAGTAGGTTTGTGTGGAGACAACAAACTCATGGTGAACTGCCATAAATCCACCTCATAAATGCTCTGTCTTTGCTCAAATATCTGTCCCATTGGCATGGTCTCCATTTAAGCCAGTTTTCCCACAAAACATTTGTCAAACACCCAAGCCCGTGATAAGATTCACAGGAGTAGGTCACATCAGAAGGCAGACTATTTCTAATTGACTGAAAATATAATGCTTCTGCACATGAAATTGTCTTTTTTTTGACCTTCCTGACCTTTTGCAAGCTCTTGCCTAATTTGTTAGCTTGTCACATTCCTCCCTAGGTATATCTCTATTTCCAGTTGCTCTTTGTCCCATTTGTTTTGCACTGATCCAAGCTGTATGTAACTACTTCTTGGCTACACCTAAGATTCATCTGAAGAGCCCTGCTCTTGGGCCTGATGGGAGAACTAGAAGTCTTACACTGAATTTGAGAGCAGCAGGACTAGGCTCAGGCACTCTGAGAAGGTTCCCTCATTGCCATTTTTACTTCCATTTGAATTCATCTTCAAGTTCTCAGGTGTAATGCTGGCCCCAGAAGGGAAAGTTTCACATCCCTCTCTGCACTCTTCTCTGCCCTGATATTCCACCTTGCTGCTCTGCTACCTGTATTTCAGATAAGTATATAACATTTAAAATATACTGAGGATCTAGCTGCATTGAAATTAAATTTGTTCCTGAAGCAACCCTATTAAACCCTCTAGGCTCCAGCAATGACAGCTTTGGTGCATTAGGTTCCTAAATCCTTTCTTTTAAATATCTTGATTTGGTACCTTGTAACTATTGATACAGGCATTTACATCAGCTTTTAATACTGCCCAGTTTTACAAGGTCCTTTGTTTTTATACATGTTATTCTCTTCATTTATCTCTTTTATCATTGCTCTCTTTCCCTTGTTACCATTTCTCCTCCATCACTTTCTTACCATTTCTACCTTTTTTACCCTCCCTCTCCTGTAACTTCAAAATTAAATATTGCCCAGCACTGCCCATGTGAAAGAAGTGAATGCTATGAGGTAAGTCTGTATTTGAACTGCTTCACTGGGAATCAATGAGGCACAGAGCATTCCTCTAGCTCCCAAGAAGCACAAAGAAATCAGGGATTATCAAGTGGCAGCTGAACACACACTTGAGAGAAAAGGTCCCACCTCCAAGAGACACCACAAAAACTGAGTCAGAGGTGCCTAGTGTGGTAATTTAATGTGGGTTAGCTTTGGAGTGGCTTTCCACAGCTCCTGTGGAAGGGAGATTGCCACATGGAAGCCCATAGAGGCAGAGGCCTGCAGGGAGCAGCCAGCTTGCTCTGCTCCATCTATCCACTGAGCTATGAAACACAGCTGGTATCAGCCTTGCTGCAAGGATGGAATGCTGATAGAGGCAGCATGTTTCAGACTGGGGGCTGACATTAACCCTGCTATTGAACTGTAGGGAAATATTAATGGTCATTCCTGGCTAGACAATATGTAGAACCTTAAACTACACAGAGGCAGACTCACCCTGCTCAAATCTGCCCATAATATACCCTCTAGGTGCAAATACTTCACTTACCTCATGTTTCCCCCACACCTCCTTACCACAGTCAGACAGGCCAGAACAACCAAAACAGTCCTAAAAGCATCTATATATGAGAAACAACAGATGTACACACCACTCTCCTTCTTCAACCTTCTGTCTTCCTCCCCACCCGACACACACTTTCCCTAGCATCACCTTTGCACACTGTTGCCTCCTGCCTGCCTCCTTACTATGTCTGTTGTGATTCTTGAAATGCCTCTCCTCAACCTGGGCTACAGGTGAGGGGACATCTTGTAAAGAGCAAGATGCAAAGTACCTCTGTAATTTACCATGGTTACTTCGCTTATATCTGATGAACACAGTCACTTACCTACTGATCTCAGTGCTGTGGGCTGCTGAGGGTTAATGATGGCACTGACTCCTGAGCTACTGCATTACCTGACTGCAGCACCAAAAGTGATTTATGCCATTATTTTCTTTGGGGGTTAATTAGGGCCTCGAGAAAGTAAAGGGCTGTCAGTGCTAGCTGGAATTGGTCTAGTGCAGCCAGGGGAGAGCAGTCATCCCTCACAGAGCTCTGCCAATACATCTTTGTCCTGAACATCAATACCTCCAGCTCCCACTCCTCAGTGTGGCAGACAGCGCTCCATCCTGACCTCCAGCAACCCCGTTCATCTTGGCATACATAGTACACTGCTCTGAGAGTCCTGCCATTTCCATCTGGCACCTTTCACACCCTTACTCCTCTGTTATCTTCTCCTCCTCACCAAAGCCTGCCAATAATGCCCATTGATGGACAGGGAAAACTCACATGGCTTCACCCATAAGCAAGGAAGAGGTATCTCCCCTCGGTATCTCTTACAGCTGAGAATCAGCAGTTTTCCTTCCTCTAGCTGTCCAGGGCTTGCTGAGGCCTTAGAAGCCACCACAAGCTATGTCTGCTCCTACCTCTTTGCCCAGATCCTCCCGGATAACTTGCTCAATCTCCTGCCTGGTGCTCTGTGGGGCCTGGCTGTGCAGCACCTTGAGGGTGCGGGTGTACTCCTCGGGCAGGAGGTAGTCCAGCGCTCCCAGGTGCTGTCCCACCTTGATGAAGGTGCCTCGGTTGGAGCAGCACAGCTCCCGGAGGCGCTCAGCAGAGCGCAGATGCACCTGTGAAGAGACCAGAACATCAGTCAAGCCCTTCTGCTGTTACATGCACATGTCCACATACACATCTTATTTTGTCCAGTATTTAAGCAGACCAAGGATTTCCTTTCTTGATTCTGGGCATCATCATCTAACATGTCAGTTCATTAGTAGGACTCTGACTGGATTTAAAGGGTCTGAACCAGACCAGGACAAGATGCTCCAGAATATAAAGCGCTTCAACACTTGTTTGTATAGGCATCATGATCAGTAACAGCACATTAATTTTTGGCCCATCCTTGCACAAAATAAAATGTCTGGCCATAGGGCAGCATTGGTTTGTCACTGTGACTCTGCACTATGATGCAGAATCACAGTGCATTATGCACTGTGATTCTGCATAGTTTGGAAACTCCTTGTCAAAAGACAAAAATCACAACCTCAACCATTATGTTAGACTCTTAGCATGAATGCAGTGAATTAAAATGAGAAGAAAGCCACAGATACACAGAGACTTCCTGGAATTCAGAAGAAAAGTCCGTTAAAAATCAAAATTAAAGATCTCTCCTTGGCAGGGAGGAGGACAGTATACAGGCAGTCCTCCATCTTCCTCGCCTCCCTTTTACATGCACAAGGGGAATTACATCCCTCCAGTCCAGTCAGGTCTTGGGTTTTACTGCCTACATTGCCAACAAAGTCTGCAATGACAGTTGTTTGAGCAACTAAGTGTTAGAAGACCTACCAGCTGTGCTCACAGTGGCCAAATGCAACTACCACATGACAAAACCCATTGCCAACCTCTTGCCTGGTCTGTATTTCAGCTCTTTCAGTTCATTTTGCTCCTCAAGAATATACCAGCCACCACATCCTTCAGTGACAATGATTTATTCCCTCTTTATTACTGTCACTAGAAAAGCCTCCTGCCAAGGACACAGCTATATTGAATAATATTTAATGAACTTCATATAAGTTTACCCTGATACATTAATAAAACCTACGCAGATCAATAACAAAAAATAACCGTGCACCCATCTCCTGTTAACGCCTGACACCAATCTGCATGAAGTCTCCTCATTCCTCTGGCTTCTGTGTCAGACATCATTGAAAGTCAAATCCTGTGTCTACAGCCCTCATCTGCACAAGATCCTGTGGTGATGGACTCCAGCAAATGCCTTGAAATACATGACAAAAAGGAACAATACCACAAACATTAATGAACACCACATACACCCACACCATTCAGTAGCTGTCTGCTCTCTGTGCAAAGCAGGGCCGTGTCACATCATGGGACAGGCTGAGTGTCTCGCATTTGGGAATGTGTCAGGGGCAGACTGAGTGCTGAGCTGCAAGTGCATGAAACACAGGCCTAGGGCAGTGTGAGAAGAAAGCCTAATGTGCAAGTCTTGCCCTCAGTGTGAGACTTGACAGTTTGATGCCCACGTGCTCACACACATGTATACGCGCATTTTCCTAAGTGGGCACATACGGGCAAGTGTAACTCGTGTGTGCGTGAGCTTCCCCCAGCACACTGCCAGCTCAAAAACACTCCCACATGTATAGGCTGCAAATAACACCCATGAGTACGCCTCAAGTCTCCCACATCATCCTCCTGCATTTTACACAACAGCTCTGAAGCTCCTGCTGTAAAAAGCCTCTGCTCTGGCTCTTTCCCTGTTTTCCTTCCCTGTGCGCAGCAAAGACAAAAGCAGGCCAAAAGGGAAGGAAGCCGTAACAGAAGATGAGAGAGCAAGAAAACCAGGGTGGGATTAATGGGACAGAAGAGAAAGGGAGAGAGGGAGCCTGTGCAGATGGGCTGTACTCGCAGCACCGTGAGTACAGCCCATCACAGAGAAACAGCTTTTTTGCAGCTCCAATAGTCATCATCTACCCACTGCCTCCAGCTGTGAAGAGAACCCCTGCCAGCAGTGAAGGAGAGTGGTGGCCAACCACACACCTCAAGGTGTTGGACAGCCATAGCCAAAGGCACTGGCAGGAAGCAGGGGCAAGGCTCTTTACAGATATCTTCCAAGAAAGCCAGCACTGAGCTCCCAGCATTGAGCTCAGGCCAGCACAAGGTCCTGTGATCTCCCACGCACAGCAGGAGCCCATCAAATGACTCCAGGCTGCAGCATGACTCGGGGCAGAGCAGCAGCACCCAGGGCTGTAGTGCAGTGCTGGGTGTCAGCACAAGCAGCCAGCTCAGGGTAGCTGAGGTGCTGGCTCCAGTGCATTACCCACACCACATCGATTCCCAAGGAAAATGGAAAAAACAGGCTGGAAAACTCAATCTAGCTAAAAATGCAACTGCTTGTAGACACGGGTGCATCTTCACATGGGGGTCACTGCTGGGAGGGAGGTGGCAATAGCACCTCTTTCCTCTAGCACAAGGTGAGAGGAAATTTTTGTCCTCACAAATTTATTCCCCCTGTTGAGAAGCTGGTTGGCCTCATGAATGCAAGAGTCCTGGACAAGACAGTCCTTACAGAGGATTCCAGGAACAAAACAGAATAAAGCATCCTCCACAATGCTCTCACAACTGGCTTGGCTTAAACTCCTAAGAGACAGATGCCCTGGCTGGCTGGCTGGACCAGGGAATTCCAGTTCCTGCACTTCTAGAGAGACAAGATGACCAAGCAGCTTGTCTCAGAGGAAGTAAATCTGCATCCCTACATCTTACAAAACTCCAGTCTGCATTAGAGGCAGAAGTACTCTGAGTATGAAGCAGGACTGTGAACGCAGCTTCCAAGGACTCTTTTCTTATCAACCAGATCAGGTTTTTTAGCAGAAAACTTTCTTAATGATCTCTATTATTTTCTTGGATCTCCCCAAGACAAGTCAGAGTTCAGATGCAACACCTGTTCCTCTGTTTATGATTAGGGGAGTGTAGTCTGTCAAAGTAAGACCATCACATTCCTATACAGTGTCCAGTAGTGGTGGCCCACATTTCTGTTCCACCTTGAAGAAAAGGCAAGGTAAATGGAAATCCTCAGAATGGCTCAGAACTTTTCTTCAAGATACCGCTCTTTGTTGCCCAAGAAATTCTTTGAAGACTGTTTTTATCGGAGGCAAGAGCTGGAAACACCTAGTCTTACACAGATGTAATTGTATGCATCACCCCTGGGAGCACACGATAAAGCAAGGAAGCATTTCATGTACTGAGGAATATCAAGAATAGGTTTCCATCAGAAAGGCCTTCGGATCACAAATGCTGCCTGTGCACGTGGCTCTTTCCCCAGTCCACATGGGCATGTCTTTCTGTCGTAAATCCCTCCTGCAAATTTCAGCAGGACAAATTCTACATTGGCCCACATGGCTATCAGACTCCTCTGCTTTACCTACATCCAGGTTAGAATAGGATTAACACTGATTATTAAAACTGTGAAAATAACAACTCTTAGGTATAGAGAAGAGGCAACTCTGGGATGAAACACACGCTCAGCAAGCAGAGCTGCAATGGGATATATTTTAATTTATGCTTGATGTACAAGCAGACCTGGCTTCTCAAGTAATTTGGTTGCTTTTGAAGGAGCCTTTACTCACACAGATTACTGGCAAAGAACTGCTCATCAGAATATCAGATGTACATATATCATGAACAGGCACGTGTTAATCTAGTTTTAAAAATAAAGGAATTCATTTAGAAGAAAATAAATACTCAGACTAAAATCTACCAGTGAGAACTTCAGTATTTGATATCTGGTGACAGACCTGGTGGCAGAAGTGCTCAGAAAGGCCACTGAATACAGTAAAGTAAGTGGTAGAAGCAACTCCTCATATGAAATCCCTCAGAAAAGATATCCCACCTGTGCAGGGCATACTCTTAGCAGGTAAAATGTGAAATGAAGATTAGGAACAGAGAGAACAGCCTGCCCATCACTGCTTACAATGGAGATACACTCTCCACGATAGTATTTCAAGAAAGGTGTCTCCAGAAAACACATGGACAACTTCAATCACATAAAAATTAGAGATTAATTCAAAAATTAGCTGAGATGCTAATAACCATAATAAAAGGAAATCTCATATTAAAACTGTTAACTTGAAGAGGATTGAAAGGGAATAAGTGTTGCCCTGTTTTTAAGAAAAGTCTAGACAAATCTGGGAAACTATAGTCCTTCAAGCTTTAATTCTGTATCAACTAAATTACTTGAGACAATAATTACAGAGAGTACTAAAAATCATCTAGCTAACTGTGATATGACTGACAAAAAGCCAACAGGGATTTTGAGGGGAAAAAAATCATTCTTCACCAGTCCACCAAAATACTGTGAGCTTGTTAATACAACAGCCAATAGAAAAGAAGTATTTACTGGGACTTTCAATAAATATCCTCACAAAGAATGAAAGGAAAACTCAGTAATTATTTGAGATACAAGAACATCACTTGCTCATTTTATCCCATTGCCAGCTCAGAAACCCAGCACTACAGACAGCAGCAATGGAAGACACTCCAATTAGGACAAGGCTGCAACATTTAGTGCTGTTTTCACCACAGCTTCATTTCAACCTGCTCTGAGCATTTTTAAACCAGATAACCCTGCAGAAGCCTTATCTATCCATACATTGTTTCTTCCTGGGAGATTAAACTAGCACTGGAAACAGAATCATGATGAAATGGGGAAGAGATCCACGTAATGCACAGAAGGCAGGAGCTCTCTACCATAAAAGGACTGACCTGCATTACTGTCAAAAACAACCAGCAAAGTGTCCCATTATGCCTATTCTTACAAGAGAGTTTCATTTTCCTGCCAGTGATTTGGTAAAGGAGAGAATAGTGCAATGACAAAAATTCCATGAGATGTAAGAGATATTATTCACCACTATGGAAAAATCAGCCCTGCCAAGTCCCTACCAAAGACAGGTGAAAAATCAATACACTGAGGGATCTCACCCTCTGCATAGATGGCTGCAAGGTTACACATATTGGGAGGTACAGCCTGTCCTCCCCACACACGCTGCTGGGCTTTCAACTCACTGGAACCATCCAGCACTTGGATCACATTCTTGTGGATGGCTCAGCCTGC